AGCGAGACTGGGCGGTGCAACCTCCCCTGATAGGAGGTGGCACCGCCTGAGCTCGGTCTTCGAGCTCTACCAGGAGGTGCAACCACCTCAGTCAGGCGGTGGCACCGCCTGAGCTCGGTCTTCGAGCTCTGGCAGGAGGTGCAACCGCCCCTGACAGGAGGTGGCACCGCCCAGAGGCTCAGTCTTCGAGCTCTGCTAGGCGGTGCAACCGCTCCAGTCAGGAGGTGCAACCGTCAGATCCCGGAATTCCGGGAATTGACAGTTTTGAGCTCCAAATTTGAACTGGGTTGGGGGCTATAAATACCCCACCCATTCAGCATTGATAGCAGAGAACATACACCGAAATCTTGATCTTGTTTTGTGATTTTTAGAGCTCAAAATTGTTGTAAAGGCCAAAAGTTCTTCTCCCTCTTTTCTTTGAAGTTCTGAGCTTTAAAGAGATGAGAGAAAATTCTGTAAGGGTTGTCTCCTAAGCCCGTCAAAAGGAGTGAAACTGTAAAAGGGTGGTTGGCCTTCGCCTATGGAAGGAAGGCCTCTAGTTGACGTCGGTGACCTCGTCGGTGGAGGAAGCCAAAAGTGGAGTAGGTCAAGATTGACCGAACCACTCTAAATCTCGGTTTGCATTTACTTTGAGCATATTATCTTTACTGCAAACCTCCTCAATAGCTTACTGCCTTCTGTGTTTTTACGAACATGTTTCAAAGTTCAATGCTTTCCGAATCGACGTTTAGACGCAAATCAGTTTTATCGTACAAACATCATATTTCAGTTTGCGCTTACGTTCTGATTTCCATCATAACTGCAAACTACCTTTATATATTTGCTTTAACTGCATCTTGCTTCATCTCAAGTTAAAGTGGTTTACGAATCGACTTTCATACTGAAATCGCTTTTATCGTTCGAACGTTTTTTATCGTTGAAAGATTTGCGCTGCACTAATTCACCCCCCCCTCTTAGTGCTCTTGATCCTAACAAAAAATATATTCCTATATCGATTAAATCTCCTATCATTGACACCGAAGCTAAGGTTGACCCATTGCATTTGATAATATAGATAGAACATTTTCTTTAAAAATATTTTGTTTATAAATTAAATTACAAATATTTTATGAAAGTTAAATATATTGATATGAATATGATTCTAATATGTTACAACAACAACAACAATATAATAATAATAATAATAATAATAATAATAATAATAAATACCCATCTTATATAAGAACAAGTTAAGCTGGATTATAGATACATTTGGAAACATATTTATATAGAGAAATAAAATTAAATGAAGGATATTTTTTAAGAATAAAAAAAAAAATCATATTTTGGATTATTTCCTCATCCGTAACCTCTATTTTGATTTTTAAATAATATATTTAATTTTAAAATACCTAAAATACCTATCAGAAGTTTTCTCATCAATTTTTTTGCTTATTATTATTATTTTTAATAGTTATAATATTTTCATTTGACTCGTTTATAATATTTTTCAATGATATTTATGAATTTTTATTGAGGTATTAAAAATACTGTAAATGTAATTAAAAATACTATAAGTGGTATCATGTTGTGTCTCTTTAGTTGTTATCGCTTGTACAACATTAGGATATCATATTTTTTATACTTGTAGTTGGTTTGATCGAGGTAAAAGTTCATTTTAATAATTTATAGTATGTTTAAGTCGGCTTTATAGTATTTTTAGTGCAGTGGCCAAAAGACTATGACAGGTCAAAAACACTATAACAGGACAAGACACTAATAAATGAGAAAATTTTGAGAGGTAATTTAGATATTTTTTGAATTAAAGATACTATTTGAGAAAATAAGGAATACCCAAAATGTGAGTATTTCTTAGAAAAAATTGCCCTTAGGTGAATGTGCAATTATAAAATTGCTCGAGTGTTTGATAAACAATAAATAAAAATTATATTTTTAAATAATAAATTAAATATAATATGATAAATTTATACATATAATATTTTTAATATTTATTCACAAGTGAATATATATATATATATATTAAAATAAAATAAAAATTAAATATAAACTTACAAAAACATTTTGTATGGCCTAGATATATAATAAATAAAGAATGAAAAATGTTTAATTTTATAAAATAAATAAAGGTTATATTAGAGAAGAGGAGAAGAAATATGGGTTAGAGTTTGACAATATTATAATCTTAGAGAATGACATAGGGTATTTAAAAAAAATTAAAAATTAAAAAAAAATTAATATCCTATAAATATCGACGTTTGAACATTTATAATATAACATTTCGAGTTAAACATAATTTAAAAATAAATTTATCAAGCATCAATTTATATTTAAAATATACATTGAGTCAAATATGTTGAGCTTTGGGTTGGGATTTGATTAATATTTCGTAAATTCCAAATGGCTCAACCGATTTGAGTCCAACAACGATGTGGGGTTACCTGGGTTGAACCCAATAGTTACCGTCCTTGTTGCTTCGATGTCCCAAAGAAGAAGAAGAATCATTTAACACACATACAGGTGCTACCCGCCCATCTTCCTGATACAACCTGGCAGGCAATCATTTTTATCATTACTGCTTCTTTATTACATCACGAGACCGATGGGCCCCTGGGACCCAGCATCACGAAATTCTATCCAATAACGCACCGGGTATATTTTGGGGCTGATATTTTTTTTGTCCGGAAGCTACAAGTTACGACTCTGATTGCAACAGCAGTGTCAACAGGTCCCAAAATCCACGTCTTCCTCAGAGAACACGTGCGTCTCACGTGACAAAGAATAAGTGGACAGCAATGTTCCCCTGCCCTTTCCCTTTCCCTTTCCCTTTCCCTCTCATCGCTGTGCCAAATCAAAAAAAGGCTCGCCAACTTCAAACACCGTCGGTGAATCAAATAAAACAAACTCCGCGTTGTGTCCTCTAATCGTAACCGTTCAAACGCGGAAATAATCGCCAGGCGGTAACGTAACGTGACGGGTGATCCTACCTACTTCATTCTGAATATTTTAATGGTCGCTTGAAAGGAACTCAAAACTGAAGAAAACAAACCCAACGGCGGCAGGGGGCATGTGATCGAGCCCTCGGTGACTTCCCTCCTCTCCTCACCAAAACCTTCGATCCCCTCCCCAAAACCCTAGAGGATACCGGTGTCCGGAGCTCGATTCCCGTTGATCGGTCCACAATGGCGTCGAGATCGCTGCGGTCGAGCATCTCCCCTTTCCGATCGAGGAGGAGCCCTGCCCCTCCCACGGCGCACAAGCCCGGGGCTCGCCCTACCACGCCCTCCTCGTCGACCTCTTCCCGTCCGACTACTCCCTCGTCGGTGTCCAGTGTGGCGCGGCCAGCGCAGCATTCTTCCAAGCTCTCCCCCGTCAGTCCTCCTCTGCCGTCCCAGCTGCTAGATCGGCCGGATTTTGCCAAGTCGAAGGAGAACGTGACCGTCACCGTCCGATTCCGGCCACTCAGGTGTTCTTCTCTTCCTCTGGCTTCATTTTTGAGGGGTTCTTTTATTCTTGAATTGTTATGGTGTGGACAGTGGTCGGGAAATCAACAAGGGGGATGAGATAGCTTGGTACGCTGATGGGGATTACACAGTCCGGAATGAGTATAACCCATCCATTGCATATGGTTTTGGTTAGTGTTCCTGATTCATGTCCCTTTTTGGCGTTTTATGCTATATGTTGCTTTTGTTTTACAGCAGCATGCCCTCATTGTTCCATCCATGAATTGATCCAATGTTTTTAGCTTCTGAGAATTTGATGCAAAGTTTTGGCTAGCGTGTTAGTTTAGAACCAGCTCAATGACAATTAGCTTTACCAATGTAGCAACTCTTTCAATAGCATTTGTAGTATGTTAGCAAAAAATTAACTTCTTCCACGAAAATTTAACTTGGCAAGGCAACATATTAGCAAGTTTCCTGACCCCTTTCCTTCCTCCCATTTTATTGGGCTAACCATTTTAAAGAAGCTGATATTTCCTTAGCTATGATAACAAGTGCATGCGGAACCTGAAATACTGGGAGTGGTTTTTTACTCAGTGTTCGTATATAGTTGTAAAATTTACTTGAGAATATTCTGTCTTGATGTTTGTGTTATTGTAGAGGATTCTCTATTAATGTTTGTATTATCGTGATGCCTTTTCAAAATGACCATGAGTATGTGCATATGCATGTATGTGTGGCCTGTAAAACATGAATTGCATGGAAAGCTACAAATACAATTGTAAATCCAGGTTCTGTATGATTTGCCAGAGATATGTAGACTTGGGTTGCCTAGATCGGGACTGGATGCTGATTGGAGAGATGAAAGTTCCCTTTATGGTATCACATGTGCAGAATTATTTTGATGAATTTCTTGCTTTGCAGAAGGCCCCACACCATTTGATTGGCCCAAAAATTAGTCCAGTGGGGATCAATTTGAGGGACTTATAAGGTAATGACTTTCTATGAAGAGATATCAACACAATCCTGGAAGAGTAGCTAGCAAGAACTGAGGAAATGGAAAATACAAATCAGGAATGGGGAATGTTGTTAGAAAACTTCGTTTCTCCTCTTCAAAGCATGTTAATTATTTCCATTAGTCAAACAGTCCCCGTGAAACATTATGCTCAGTTGCATTGATTTTTTTCCCCCACAATTGCCTTGTTTTTGCATCTAGGATTTTTGGAATTAGGAGTTGCTAATCTTTGTCTTTCTTACTCCCATGGGTTTACCTTCATGTGGAAGCCAAGTCCTTCAAAGACCATCTTTTAAGTGATTTCAGGGAGCAACAAAAGTAAAAGGAGATTATAAGCATATAATCACTGACTTGCTCATTTACTCTCCTAAATCAAATGTAACATAAACCAAGGTTTGCAATACCGAATGATACCGCCCATACCGGACGGTACGTACCGGTCCGTCATCAGATCGGTACACAGATTGCCCGCTACTGAGCGGTACCGTCGATTGAGGTGTTATTGTCATCGATTGAGGCGTTATTGTCGACGGTGACCGAGGGAGAAGAAAAAAGAGGGAGAAGGGGAAGAAAGAAATAGGAAAAAATGGGAGAACCTGGAGATTGCTGCTCTCCTCCTCGTCTGTCCGTGACTTCTCATCTGCGTGCAGGAGAAGAGGCATCGGCGTCACAGGGTAGAGAGAGGTAAAGATTTTTTTTTTTTCTTCTCTTCTCGGGTGATGTCAAATGCAATTTTTTTTTTTTTTTTTAATTCTCTGCAACGT